AATTAATAAGGAGAATCGATAATAGGACGTTTGGGACTATTTTTGGTATAAAAAATTTATAAAAAGTGAGGATTTTAATAGTTTAATAGTTAAGTACAAGTCACTCTCAACCAAAATTATTATTATTATGATTTTTTATATTTACTTCTTTTATAAAAATAAATAATTTATCATAAATAAATGTTTGCCATTAGATGATAAACCCTAAACTTTAAAGCTGCAAAAATTTCTAAATATTTTAATAAAGAATTGGAAATATTTTACCTAATATTTTACTTCACTTTTAGAACAAAAATATAATTTGTATTTATCTATTTATTTATAAATTAATACAGTGTTCGTTATTGCCTTTTTAGATGAGTTTTTATTTAATCTATTTTAAAATATTTTATGCAGTCACTATAAATAAGATAAAATACTATTGAATATCATATTGGGAACCTATAAATAATATATTAATTTATCTAAATATTAATTCTATATTTTTTTTAATTGATGTGTGTTTGATAGTAGATTTAAAGATGAGAGGAATTCATATATATATATATATATAAAACAATGATTTACCGAAATCTAGGTAGCTTATTATCAAGAAATGAGGGGAATCCGCAAACATGAAAAAGCTTTACAAAATGCTACTTACAGAAGAAATGTAGTAGCAATATTACTTTTTACATGATTAAACACCTAAAGAAAATGGTAGGTCCAGATTCTTTTGACAAATATTCATGGGTCTATTTGTAGCAAAAATAAATAGACAATTGATGAAGTCCAGTGCTCTTGAAAGCTTCAGCTATTAAGTGAATGCACTGTAATAGTTTTATATCTTTGAGATGAGATGTCACAGGCCCCTCGTGCAAGTTTTATTTGGGCAGCACCCTTTACTTGATGAAATTTAATTTAATTATGAATAATTGGACATGTTAATGGATTTACATCTCTAAAGCAACAGAAGTTACAGATAATGTTAACATCAATAATCAGTATGAACTGACCTGGCCATATACTTGGCCTTCTCAGCTTCCTCCCATGCTACTGCACGTGCTTCAATGACACTCTTAGGTGGTTCTGCTTTTGTTTTCAAGGAAGTGGATGCATCCTTATCCTCCTCTTCTTTGCT